TCCTGCCCGCCAGCCGGCCATGCCATCCCTCTCAGGGCCGTACTTCCTATCCCGCCCACTAGCCCCTCTCCGCCAATCGGCGTGCCGCCCGCCTAGCCTTGGCCAATCGCGACCCGGCAGAAGGGTGGGGGCTAAGTTCCCCGCGCCCCCCGCCCCACACTTCCCGGTTTCCACCAATCCCCGACGCCGTTCCCTTCCTCATCGGCTTGGCCTTTCCCGCGCTACGCCAATCCGAACAACGTTCCCGCCGGCCAATAGCAACCGGCGGAGTGGAGGAAGAGGGATCGACTCCGCCTTCCCCCCTGCCACGTGACCTGGGCGGTGGGCCGGGGGTCGCGAGCGGCGTTGCCATGGTGCGGGCGTTCATCCTGCTGGCGCTGGGCGGGGCGGACCCCCCTGCCACGCCCGGCCACGCCCCCTCTAGCCCCGCCCCTTGCCGCCTCCTCTACGCCCGGACTTTCGGGCCCCCCCCCCGACCCGGGGGACCCCCCCGGCAGCGCCTCCGCCGCAAGGAGGAGTTGCTGGCCGTGGCCAGGTATCCGGGACCCCCCCCCACTCCCCCCTCACCCTACCCCGCGGGGGGGGGGGGGTTGGGTTCGGCGGGACCCCCGGGGTTGGTGACCCCCCCTCTATGGGACCCCCCGTCCTCTCCTTTTAAGGGGTCTGGGCTCAACAGGACCCCTGGGGCTGTGACACCCCCTCTCTGTGGGTGTCCGTGTGTCGTCCCCCTTCCTTCTTTGGGGGGGGCGTCTGGGCTCAGTGGGACCCCCAGAATTGTGACGGCCCCCCTTTTTGGGGGGACAGGGCTTGGCGGGACCCCCAATAGAGGGGGTCATGCTATCCCTGGATTGGGGGGGGGGTTCTTAACACGAGGGTGTCCCCCCCCCTTCTTCTCTCCCAGGCAAGTGGCCTCCCAGTGCCGGCTGCTTCAATCGTCTTTGGGGCGTCCGTCTTCCCCCCAGCTCCCCCAGCTCCCCGACGAACCAATCTCGCTCCAAGATGCCCCGGGGGGACTTTTCCAGCTGCCCCCCGGGGACCCCTTCCCCGAACGAACGACGGTAGCCTGGCTGTCGGTTTTGGCCCTCGCCTTTGCCTTGGTTTGTGACCCCCAAGAGAATCTATCGTTGGCCGAAATCACCCTACGCCGCCTGGCCCCCCGCCTGCTCGTCTCCCTCCGACTCCTCAGCCCTGGTGCCGATGTCCTGCTCCGACCCGAGACCGCCGACCTCCTCCTCGATCGTCTCCTGCCCCACGGGCAGATGCTTTTCCTCAATGAACGTTTCCTTCAGGCGATGGACCGGGAGATGGGCATCAAAGCATCCCGCTGAGCTATGGGTGGCACCCCCTCTGATATTTCAGAGGTGAGGGGAGAGACAAGGGAGGGATCCGAGGTGGTTGCCAAGCCCTGGTGGGAGGGATAGGAAAAGCAGCTCAGGAATAAAGAGCAAGGAGCCAGCAAAGAGCAGGTTTTTAATCCATTTATCCCCCCCCAGTGCCGTTGTGGGAGGGTTGGGTAGCACTAATAGCCGTCCCCATAAAAATCCATCCAGAGCTGCGATGGCGCCGCGTTCCTGAACCGCTTCATCCACGCAGGACAGCGGGGTGGTGGCTCTGCAAGGCCGTAAATGGACGTTAAAAAAGAGGTCGTTCTCCCATGGGGGCTTCTGCAAACCTCTCACCCGCCAGCCCAAAGGATGGATGGGTGCTGGGCACCTCCATCCCCTCCCCATGAGGGACCCCGGGTTGGGGTTTCCCTGTCTGGGTGCTACGGGGAAGGTGGGGGGGTCCCCAGTGGGGGAGCAGTGGCCAAGGGCAGCGCAGGTCCCCTCTGCTGTGGGACAGGATGGCCAGAGATGGGGATCCATCACCTCAGGACAGGAGGGAACCCGGGGGGGGACAGGACAGCCAGGGTGGGTACAACCAGCCCTGCTGCATCAGGGTCACCGGGGTGGAGGATTAAATAAACGGGTAGCAGGGCAGGACGTGGCTGTGTGCCCAGCACAGGGGGTTGGTTGTCCCCAAATGATGCCGCTTGGGGCCAGGGGACGCGCGTGACACCCTGGGAGGTGGCAGGAGCCGGTACCCACCTGCCCAGCTCTGCAGGGCACAGTGGTGAGCAGAATCCTGCCCCGGCAGTTTCTGGGTGCCGGAAAAGCCGGGAAGCCAGGAGACATCATGCCCGGTTCTCCTGCCACCGCCGGCATGCTGGCGTGCCAGGGATGTGCCTGACCCTGTGGAGGGGCTGCTGGGGGGGACAGACCCCAAAACATTTCCCCCCATAACCACACTGGTAAAGCTGAAGTGCCCAGGGAGCAGTGCTGGGCATCGGCAGTGCCAGGCTTCAGCTCTGGTGGGTCTCTCTGTCCGTGATGCTGAGTGGGATCTGGCCAGGCACACCGGTGGGGGCTGCAGGCGCAGAGGGGTCCCGGTACCCCCTCCCACCGCACTCGCAGGGCAAGGGGATGGATCTGTCCCTCCCGCGGCACTTGTGGGACCCCCACAACGTGAGAGCTGTGGCACCGTGGTTGATGCCAGCAAAGGTCCCCGAGGTGAGCAGGGTAGAGGGGCTGGGAGGGACCTCACTGCATGCTGGGGGCCGTAGGGGCGATGGAGCCAACCCCCCCTCAATGGGGAAGGCAAGAGGCAGCCGGAGGAGGTACAGCAGGAGCAGTTTAATCAGAGCTGAGCAAAGTGCTCTCGGTGCGGGGGGGGGCAGCACCGGGATGGCACCGGGATTCGGAGGACCGATGACAGCATCAGCGTCGTGGCATGGGTGCTCGCTTGGGAGCTGCCCTGCTTCAGGGAGGAGCGGAGGTCCCTGGGGGGCTCATCCCAGCACACGTGCCACGGGGCTGGCAGCACACCGGCAGCATGGCCGGCGGTGGATCCGGCAGCGTAGCCGGCAGCGTGGCATCAGGGCCTGCTCAGGTCCCTCTTGCAGATCCAGGGGAAGCTGAAGTTGCAGTTATGGTTGTTCCAGAGGCCGTTGCCCACGGGGTGGATCTGGGCACAGTTCTCCCCGCCCCAGCGCCCATAATCCGTGCTGTCCGGCTGCCCCGGTGCCCAGAAACTGCCGGGGCAGAGTGAGGTCAGCGGATGGGGGGGGGGGGGTGGGGCTGCTGGTCTTCCCCCACCCCCACCCCCAAGCTCACCTCTGGGCCTGGGAATAGGGAGCCCCATCCACCCAGCGCCAGGAGCCCCCGGGGCCTGTGGCTGCCAGTCCGATCCAGTAAGATTTTCCCCTCGTCTCCTGCGCCAGGTAGTCCTGCAGGACAGGGCAGGGGTGCGGGCAGAGGGGGCATGGG